TTTAGTCAGAGTACAAAATAAAAATAGAAAAGGTTTGAGTCAGTGTGAGAAAGAACAAAACCAAATCACAAAGCATCTATCAACCGGCGTATAAAGTGGAGCAGTCTTTGAATATATCAGTAAATTCTAATAAAGTTAATGAGCGTGGTCACCACCAAAGTTACCCATTAGTGAATGCAAAGGTTAATATTTGAGTAAAAGAGACAATCTATAAATGAATATTATATAAAGGGATATGTGTGAATGGTAAGGGTTAAATACAAGATAAATTGTCATTCGCCAGTCATGAAAAGGACATGGCCCCAATGTAACACATCCCACAAAGATTAAAAAAAAAGTGTCTCGTCTTCAATTAAGAAAATATCAAATATCAAATCTCAATCAGCAATGTAAATACATTAAAAAAGTTATATAGTTATTACCTCAATTTTTGTGTAGGCCCATGAGTTTATTTTTCCTTAGTGGTTTTCTTTTCCATAACCTTTGGATGAGAGGAATATGTATTTGTAAAAGGGTAATCTGATACCTAATTAAATTAGCAGATAAAATCATAGGTATTGTAACCTTTCTTTATACAACAGATAATTTTTAGTTCTTAAACGTGAGTTTCACTTATATTTTATTGCACTTTCTAAGAGAATTCTTGTAACATTTTTTACACCGAGAAAAAAGTTTGATAATCTTACTTGAGAGGCTGCCCGCGATTCTTGTGACTCAAAGTTTGCTTGACATCTGTTTTTTTTAATTAATTAATTTGAAAAATAACAAATGTTTAATTAAGTTTGTTTTGTTTAGTATTTTTTTAAAATAGTTTCACAGTTCTTTTTTAAAGTTGAAAAATACAAACAAGTTTATTATGTTTTCAAAGTTAAAATTAATTTTTAAAATAATGATTTTATTAACTTAAACTTTTAGAAATAAGTTTCAACATTTAAAAGTAGTAATTTTTTATTAAAAATATATCATTTATTACACTTATATTTTTTAAATGATAAATATTTTTTGAATAAAAAAATGATCACTTTTTATTACTTATTCTTAGTTTTAGGGGTTAGAATTAATATTTTTTTTAAAAAATATTGAAGTGGATTTAGTGAAATAATACTGAGCAAGTTTCGAACATTTTTTTTAATCATCTAATCAAGTAAATCATTTTTAAAGACAGTTTCTCAAATTATTTTATAAAAATATTAAAAAAATAAAATTAAACAATTATTAAAGCTTTTTAGCAAATTAGAGGAAGATGAAATGAAAATATTTGAGGTGTAAAAAAGAGAAGGGGAAAGAGAAAAAATAAGGGTTAACAATTTTTTTTATTTTAAAAATTTTAAAAATATAAGTTTAAAAAGTTTTGGAGTATTTTTTTAAAAAATTATAACATTTTTGTTTTTCTTCTTTTTTTCCTCAAAAATTAACTCCAAAACAAAGTTTAAGATTTTTCCTATTTATATTTACATTAATTGTCTTAATATATATTTTTTATTAATTTATTTTAATCTATATCTAAGAGCTTGTGTTAAAAATTTAAAAAATATTTTTTATTAAAATAAAAAATTATCATAGAATTATAAAATGTATTTAATGTATACTTTTTTATAATATTTTAAAATTTTAATATTATGTATTTAGTATTTTTTTTTACATGTACTTTTAAATACATAATACGAAATTATTATTTATTTGTTTGGGAAAATGGTAGTTAGGGATCACTACATTGAAAAATGAAATTCTTTTACAGTTTTCATTTGATATTCAATGAGAATTCACCTAAACCGACTTAATAAATCGCGCAAGACCGAATTATATACATATATCTTAATTACAAACTACATAACTTTTTCTTTAATTTCTAATTGGATAAAATATTACAAAATCACAAAATGCCAATGTAATTAAATCAAAAAGTGGAAAATGGCATGTAAAACAGAAACTGTACATTTCTTTGAAAAGTATAGAGCAGAATCTCAACAATTAAGAAGTTTGTAGAATATAAAAAACCAAAACAATCATAAAAACATGAACTTAATGCTTGAATAAAATTTATTATTATTTTAGGGTGCAGCCCAAGATTTAATAAAAAAAATATGGATACTCATGCAGAATAGTCCTCACTAAAAAGTTACTGTTTCTAGTCTACAACTCCATGATCAATCAACATTTCTCAATCAGAGCGCTGTCAAGTTTGTCCGGTTAAGGAAACACCTATTACCTATTGCTTGAAAGTTGAGCTTCTTATATTCTATTGTAAGTTTTGCTTTGTTTTTTTAATGTAATATTCTATTGTAAGATTTTAATCAAGTACGTTCAAACATGTTATTTAAGTAGGATGAAGAGGAACAAGAAGAACCATTATCGTAATCCTTATATGAAATGTTAGGAAAATTTTCTTTTTGTGAACATTGGAATACCTCTGATTCACCAATTAATTAATATAAACTACTGTGCAGATGCCATAAAACAATTTGCGTTGGTACAGCTCGTGGTACAATATCTGTTCATCAAATATTCACCAACTATGTCAATAGTTCTATCCACAAAATCCAGGCATATGGTCGCTGAAACGATGGTTCTTGTTTGCTCTTCTTTGGTTTGGATGAATATACGCTATGTACACAGGAAATGTATTGTAAACTTCAGAACATAGAGGTTGCTATGTTCGCAGGTTAGGTAGATCAAGCAATCAGTTAGATATCTTCATGCAATGGTTCAAGATGATCAACTTAAATTGAAACAAATAATATTATAAGTTTAATATTATAAGTTAAATATTATAATGTTTATGTGAATATTAGTATGATAAAATGAGTTACTTGACTTTGTTAGATCAAACAAAAGAAGTTCAATTTGTATTCAGATCTTAAAATAGAAGTTTAAATTTAGTCCGAACTCCTACAAATGCCAAAATAATTCAAACCAGCCTATTTTATCAACTTTAGTGAATATTTCATATTATCGGGGATCAACTATTTAATTGATAAGATGATGTTTGTTTTTTTATGATAATTCGGTGCATGTGTTACATGAGGTTAGGTTAAAAAATAATTATTGTACACAAACATAAATTAATGAAAAAGTAATTAACTTAAAAGCAATTTAATTGGACCCAATTACACGCAGATAAAATGGTTAATATGGAAAGAAAAGTAATGCAAAGGATACTAAATGAGGTGCATGGAGAGGGCGCAATGGGCCAACCTAATATTGATGATTATTTTGATGGTTTAGGCACATCCATATATCACATCAATGGAAAGTATAATGGTACCCCTTGGCGGGACCAATGCCTACAAAGCTTTTAACCCAAAGTCCCAAAACCTAAAGTTAGGCCATCGATGGTTGTTAATGAGGAGAAATACAGTATCAGGTGGAGTAGTGAATTTGAGATATCATACACTATTTGCTGATTGGTGGGTCCCCAACTTAAGCCTGTATAATTCCTCGTTTGAACGGTCAAGCTACAAATTATTGATACAAATTATTGATGTTCATGTGAAACATTTATAGGTACACACCCTTTTCCATCTTGTATTCCTCGTCATCGCCTCCTTTCTTTTCTTTTTTCTTTCCATCTTCATATGCATTTTTTTCTGTCTAACCTTGTACTTCCTCATATCTTATAATTAAGGATTCTATGTTTATACGTTACTTTTGCCCTTTAAGTACACCACAATATCGTAAGTTTATCTTTACGTGTCTTCGACCAAAAATTATAAAGAAAGACTTTAGATGTCTAACCATGGTCAACACTCTCTTGAACACATTCAATATAATTCAGAGTTTTTAAAAAACATTGAAGCAACTTTTGTTATATGTAACTTTTTGTCATATATAATATTGTACATATTAAAAAATTATTATTAATTTTTTAAATCAAGTTATCTTAAAGTTAAACAACTGAATTGAATAGTTTGAGTTAGCTTGTGGACGGTTTTTCTTTTCCAATAGCAAACTGTGACATACTGGTGATGGAAGAAGCTACATGCATAATAAATAAAGGACACAAAATTGACTCTTAAGGGAGACGTTGGGAATGGCCAGTTATAGCAAAAGATAATAGGATCTACATAGCCTCTGCTTGTAGTTTAGAGTGATTCTGAAAATGCTCACTATTGATCGATGAAACCTAGCCCGTGACAAAAGGCAAGAACATTGTAACATCTTAAACAAAACTCTTCATTTTTAGTGAAATAAAAAAAAGAATCATACACTTTTCCACCTTGATTTTATTTTCTTCACATCAAATATTTGATTTCCAATTGCAAAATAAACAAGCATGGTATCAAATAACCACTAACGAGGGATCGAACGATGATATAAATATCTAGCACATAATAATATTATATTAACATTTTGTGTTCGTTGTTCTCATTGCAACATGGAAAAGTGTTTGCAGATTTACCCAATTGACCGTACGAAATTTCTTGAGCACAGAAGTGGGACATGGTCGGAGCAATATAGGTGGTGATTAATTATGAAGAGAGAGAAGGGTATAATAGGAAATTGAGTAAGACACAAATGTGGTTAACATATGCACATGATGGGATTTTGGGTTGGGTGGACGTAGATTCGTCCAGGGGAACGGGGACAAGGCCAACGAGACTAACCGAACCACGCATAGAGGTTTGGTTCAAACCCAAGAACATGGTGAGCGTCAACAATGGAAAGGGTTAATTCATTGACCCCAAAGCAAAAAACAATAACATTCACAGGGGTGATGATACGAGTACCCACGGGGCCACAGAGTGTCCATTAACTTAACCTGAGGCTTAGGCTACTGTGGTTCATGATTGTGCACTTAATAGCTTGCGTGCACTCCTGCATCCTAAGCTCTCACGCACGGCCACGTATCAATGAATCAACCTTCCACAACACTCTCAATTCTTTTTATTATTATTAATTTTGTATTCATGAAATAAATTAATTATTATTTTGATCCACTTCAATCAAGGGTATATGTGTCAATGCATCCTCTATATAATTCAACTCCTCATCTCTCTTTCTGGTTACACACAGCTTCCTCTTTGACTGTACCCAACTCACGCTTGCTTTGTTCCCTCTTCTTCTCAACTGCTTCCATCTTCCTCTGCCTCTCCGCACTACCCTTGTAAGTTTTTGTTCCACTTCCTTCATTCTATTCCTTCTCATGAATCTTATGTTACTCTTCATGTGTTTGTGTTTTTGTTCTTTTTTTTGGTTTCCAAATTTGGTTCTTAGTCCGAGGATGATTTAGCATATGGTAAGATTGCTTAGTATTGGAGAGTTTCAATTTATGCATCTGAATCTCATTTCTTGGTCGAGATCTCGTGGGGGATTTTGTTTGCTTTAGAATATTATAAAATTAATTTTAATTTTTTTTGCTCATTTTTGCTTCCATTTTGGAGCTCGGTGCTCTTGAATTTTTGCGTATAGTTTTATTTTAAAATGTTACATAATTTGTATAATCTCTCTTTTTTTTTTCGTTTTCCTTAAATATAGTCTAGGTTGAATTGAATCCCGGCAATTAACATATGCTGAAGGCTTTGTTTTGCATAAATAGGAATCTTGAGAGAAAAGGAAATGAAAAAGTTTTTCTTTTTCTTCTTTTTGTATGGTTAAATCTTGAACTGAATTGAAAGTTGTTAATCGTTGCAATTTTTCAGATCTCTAACGAGTGAATTCTTTTGCAGGGTTATAAACGCATTTTTGGCTGAAGGAGCGATTATAGCTTCCTTTTATTGTGGACAAGGATACAACAGCATGCGGTGGTGGCTTAGTCTCTCTGTTGATGTATACCGCAAAGTGATTTCCCTGAACCTGTATTGCAAAGTGATTCTGTAACTCACATACCCTTTTGATAAAAAAACTTTTCAATCTTCTCACTCTCTTCTCTTCCTTGCTTAACATCAATGGGATCCAATTTCTTTGTTGTTGTTCCTTGTTACGTCCGTCAGATCAGCTGAAAAGAAAACAGATTTTCCACACATTTACAAGCGCTTCTCTTGAACTGGGTTTTAGTTGTTGTTAGTTAGCGTTTTTCTCTTTAAGGGTTAGTTAAGGTTAGTGGCTGGATTTTGTGTGTTGTTCACTGGCTTGGGAGGGTTCAGACTTAAGATTAGTTGCATCTGGGAACATTGTGGTTCTTCCATTTTGAAGGGTTGGAAAGTAGTTATGGTGTGCCAAGCAGCGAGCCAAACCAGATTTCGGGCATTGAAACACGAGAATGGAACTGCAGGGTGCTCCACCATTATAGTTAGAGTTATAGCATGCTTTCAACCTCTCAGAGAATGCCAGGTATATTAAAACAAGGGTTGAAGAAAGTAATAAGATTTTTTTTTCAATTTTTTTAATGTTTTTATTAATGATCTCTTAATTGTTCTCATAATTTTCTTTATGTTTGTTTTTGGGTGTGTTGTGCAGGCTGAATACTTTCGTCATTTGCTCAAACCTGTCACGTAATAGTTTTTTTAGCTTTGCTTGTTTTGGGTTTAGCCGGTCGTTTTTGTTGTTTTCCTTGTTGGTGAAAGAGTTACCAATAGTAAGAGATAGCACTTGTGTTCGAATCGTTTTTCTTCAGGTACATATTACATTGTTATTTTTTCATTCATTTATGTAAAGTTGCTAGTCTCTACTTTTCTTTGATGTGGGTTATTTGTTGATTTGCTTTATGTATGTTTTGAAAATCTTAGGTGATTGTTGTGGTTGAATGGGAGAAGATTGTGGAACCTGGATACCGAAGCTGCATTTCGATTGGCAATCACCCAATTTGAGTTCCTTTGGTGCTCCCCTTGATGTGGGGAAGCAAAATGGTGTTTGTGCAGCTATGAATCTGGGTGCCAACATGGTCACAAGAAATGAGACAATGCCAGCTTATGTATCCTCTCTGCAACCGCATTCACAGTTAGGACATTCTGGTGAATCTCATGGGTGGTTTTATTGCTTGCCTCGTTTTCGACAGGGATTTACTATGCCTGCCCCAAACTTAACGGCTGAGGCAAAACTCCCTGCTGGCCATGTGAAAGATTCTAGGGAGGAAATTGTGCCAAATAGGGAAATGGGTTTTCCTCAAAAGCAATTCCTGGTCATCGATCAAACTGGCGATCAGACAACTCTAGTTTATAGTTCAAGGTTTGGGAGTCCCGTTGAGTGCCTTGGTTCCTGGGATTCAAAACTGCATGGTTCTAACAATTTGGATACTTGGAATGAATTGCCTTCATTAGGAAGAGATGTGAATCATGTGGTTGAACTTGGAACAACTTTGGATGATAAAGTTGATGAAAATCAAGGAACTGATGACATTGAAAGCGAGATGCATGAAGACACAGAGGAAATCAATGCATTGCTTTACTCTGACAGTGATGGTTATTCTACTGAGGATGATGATGAAGTTACTAGCACAGGACATTCACCCAGTACAATGACAACTCATGATAACCAGGAAGAACCCAATAGGGGGATTGCAGAAGAAGTTGCTAGCTCCGCTGGAAAGGCAAAGAAGCGGAAGCTATTGGATGAGACTTATGACGATGACGTGCAGTTCATGGACACTGCTAGTTCCCTGAATGGGAACAAACCCTTTGAAGTGGGAGATGATGCAGAGTCAAGATGCTCTAGTGGTGGAAACTGTAGTCAAGGATCAGGTGAAATGGGTTCATTGTCATGCAACAAAAGAATGAGAAAGGAAAAGATTCAAGATGTTTTGAGCATTCTACAATGCATAGTCCCTGGTGGGAAGGACAAGGATCCTATTGAGCTTCTTGATGAAGCCATACGTTGCTTGAAATCATTGAAACTCAAGGTTAGAGAACTTGGACTCGATGCCTTATAAATTGGAGAATTCTTAGGCAGCATCACCCGTCGCTTATTTAGTACTTTATATTTAATGTTTTCGTCTGCAGAATAAACAAGGTACCTACCTATATTTGATGAAAAGTGGGATTGAGCAAGGGAAGTGGGAAATGGGAATCTCTAATCCCTTTGCTTTCATTATTGAGTGGGAACTGGTAGTTTTGATTTAATGTAATTTGTGTGTGAAGAAAGAGTGCAAGTGTTGAGCTTATTATGGCGCAATAAAGGAAAAAATGAATGATTAGTCCATGTCTTGGGGGTTAGAGAAAGTAGCACTAACGGTGGCATGGGATATGAGGTGTTTTTGAATGAGAAGACTGGTTGTTGGAAAAAGTGGCCAAAAACGAGAGTGCACGCCTCTTGGCTGTTATGGGGCCCAACCTCACTTCCTCTTTTTGTATCCTTGTCGTGTTCAATCCTTTGTGGGTTTGCCTTTTCTCTGATGTAAAAATTATCACTACCCAAGCACCTTCCCTTTTGTGTGAGATTGTGACAACTTGGGGGGGGGGGGCTCCTACAGTGTCACAATTTTCTACTTGAAGGACGGTACAGTAATGTAACTGGCTTGTGGGAAACACTGATTTTTGTGTTATTATTATGGGGCTTGTGCTGTGCTGTGCTTCGTAATTGGTGTATGGACTTGTTATTAGAAGGGAAGAAGGATGATATCTTGGTTGGATGTAATTCAATGTGGTTGGTGTTATTGTTGTCTTTTTGCCTGTGTAGTTACGTCGCATGCACGCATTTATTATATGAGAAAGTGATGTGCTTTTTAATTTTTATTTCCTCATTTTATTAATGTAATTATTATTATTTTGATGATGCTTATGTGGGTTAATATTTAAAAGTATGAAAGTTCTCTCTTGCTCCATGGATGGTGGGGTGAAGGGGGGACCACAGCGTTGAATTATTTAGGGTGGAAGATATACATATGATGTGTTTGAGAGAGAGAGAGAGAGAGAGAGAGAGACATGGGTTGGCACGGGTGAGGTTGTGGTGAGTAGTCAATAGTCATGGTAGGTATCAAACAAAAGAAAGAATCTCATACAGTGTTTTATTCAAGTCCATTGATTTTCTACAGTGCAAAACAAGCATGCCATTTCTTGGGCAGCTTTTTAGTTTCGGTTTTATTTCATTTCTTTTCTGGGTGGTCGACGGTCACTGAGAGTGGACTTTAAATCTTTTATTCATTTTTCCTTTGGTCAACAACTATCCTTTTTTTTTATTCAAAAATATCAACACCTAAAGTTTTGTTCACATTCACACACACAAACATATTATATATATAAAGTGTTGATATTAATCAATCGTTACTTATTGTTATATATAGGGACAAGGAAAATTGTTAAATGTTTTTTTAAGTTTAAGAGAAATTTTTGTTCTCGACTAAATCATTATTTTATTTTATATATTTATTTATTTATTTATTTTACTTAGTGAATATGTCAAAATACAGGTAAGAGATATTCGCATCCCCAGAAATTCTACCGACATTTTGTATTAAATAATCCGAAGTTTAAGAAAGTATAAATTTGTTTATTATTTTATTTTATTTCTAGTTTTTTTAAGGAAAATTTGTAAATTAGTATCTGGGTTTTGATACATGCAATTCAGTTTTGAATTTAAGAAATTATAAATTTATTTGATTATATTATTTTCAAGATTTTAAACACAGTATTTCTTTTCTTAATTTGTATTTAAGATTATTAAAAAAATATAAATTAACACTCAGGTCATGATTTTAATTCCTAAATGATGTGCAAATTTTCAAAAGTAAGGAACAGATGGTACACAAATTAAACTTGAAGGTGTTAATTTACATTTTTAAAGGTTTTCTTTTAAAATTGACATTATTTTGTGAATACTAAAAACTTCAAGGTAATTTTATGTCAACATTTCTCTCCTTTTTTTTTTTTAGCTAAATGTCATCCATTTAAAATTTATAACCCCGAAATTAATTCTTCAAATTTTTTTATTTTTAAATTTTACTCTTTTAATTAAAATTTTTCTGATTTTTTTCCTCATATCTCAACTTTAACTACGTTTTTTTCTCTCTCAAATCTCATTGATTTATATTCGTTTCATTTTTAAAAAACTTAGTATTTTTTTTTCCCTAAACCTAAGCTACTTATATTTTTAAATAGTTTATTTAAATCAAGTGTGAATGTTTATTTTATACTTTATTTTACTTAATGAAAACCTGTGCAATGCTGGGGATGTTTGCAAAGATATAACTAGATTCTAAAATATAACAAGAACAATTGCTTGCTTCAAAAGTTCCATTGCATGGATGGGTAGGTTATGTGTTCCTCATTTGGACCTCTAGCTTGAACTAGAAAGTATTAAAAATGCACACTTTTCCTTTCTTGGATAGAACAAGAAGTTAGTCCCATGAAAGATGTGGTTGGTCTGAACATTTATGACTATCTATCTCATAATTATAAGATGATGGCATCCTGCAAATTACACCTAACGTCTCCATTAGCAAGTTTAGTGCCCAAGGAATCGAATAAAACCCTAAGAAGATGATGAAAGGGAATATATATATAGAGACAAAAATCATTCACACATCATCACTTATCACATGCTCTATTCTGATTCTCCATCTCTATCACTTTCTTTAATTTGTTTACACTTTTAATTTGGTGACCACAAGTGGGAAATACGTGAAAGAAAGTATTCTCTGAACCCTCTTATGTACAAGTGTTGTTGTATTATCTAGTACCCTTCTTTTATAGAATAATTGTTTTGAAACTATACTGGCCTAGTTTCTACTTCCCAAGTCTTTCATTGACTTGCATTTCATCCCATATTATAGATTAAGATAATTAGTTTAGATCTTATTTGAGAAAAGTAGAAGTATTTGATAAATAAATTTCTTTTATCAACGTATAGATTTTTTTATAAGTTATTTGAAGTAGTGTTTAAATTTATAGCTTTTTTTTAATTACCCTGATCATTTTAACAAAAGTTTCCATTTATTATTTTTATTATATTATTTATTTGAGAATAACTTATCACTTAATTTTAAACTAATATTTAAACAAAAATGATTAGAGTTTAATTTTTAATATTTTTTTCAACTAGTGCCATAAGAATACTGGTTAGTAATATCCTTAAGTAAACATATATTTTCGTCCTAAAAAAATTATATATAAAAAAATCATAGAAGCATGTTTGTTTTATGTCATTTTCATTTATCAACAAATCTAATAGTTAATTTTACTAAATATTTCTACTACTAAAAATAAACTACTCTTGTCTCTAAAAGTAATCTCTTTAATCAATTTTGTTTCTCTTAAAATTATTAATCATTTTCACAATTTTAAAGTAAAATTATTATTTTTTTCTTTCAAGAACTATTGCTTGTGATTCAAATCTATCTGCATGGTCCCTAAGCAATCTTTTGTTTAACTTGGCCCATGATTTGATCCAGCCCAAATATGAGGGCTTATAATGATTTCCAAGGGCTAAATTTTATAACCCTTTAAAGGGCCCAATTCTGATTCCTTTACCAATTTTTTGTGCAGTGCAATTCCAAACTTAACGAAGATCGAAAGAAAAAGTTAAAGTACCCTTTCTAGGATGTTATAGTGTTTAATCAGGGCCCGATAGTGAAGCCCTTCATGGCTTCATGCTTGCATGCACAAATGCAAGAAACACGTCACTTCACATTTGGGGTGTGATTCAAATTTAGAACGCAAATGTGAGCAGAAGTGGAACAACAGAGTGGCCGTTTGAAGTAAACTATATGATTAAAATGTGTATATAAATTAATTTTAAAAATTTAACAATAAATTTTTATTAACTTGTGTTTTTTATGATTAAACTATACATCTTTATTAACATTTGTGTTTTTCTATTGAAAAAAAATGCAAGAATAACTATATCCTTAAACAAAAGCATTTTTAATTTTTTTTAAATGGAAGTGATTTCGAGAGTATTCTCAAATGAGATATTTTAAGAAATTTAATTTTTTTAATCATGTTAAATGATTCTTTTATATTATATATTATTTTTAATTTAATAAAATTTTAATTTTTTTATAATTTTATTTAATATAATTAAATATTTATTATTAATAATTACATTATTTAATTTTTTAAATTTATAAATTTTTCATTATATAATATTTATTTTAAATAATATATTTAATAATTACTCAATGTTATAAAAATAACTTACTCAATATTTGTTTTCCTTCCACCATGCTTGAAGCATTAAGTGGATAATTTTACAAGTTTTTCTCTTTCTTTTCTGTGTAATGAGGTTATAATGAATAACTAATTTTGTTTTACTTGAGATTGAATATAACTAACTCACTTTCATGTATATTTTGAAATACATTTGTTAATATTTTTTTATTAATATTAATGAGTTTTTTCTTATTCTTAATGCTTATTACATTTTGATTATGCAAAACTTGATTTATAACTTAAAGTTTGATTAGTAAATAATTTTTAGGTAAAGATTTAAAATGAACACCTAATGAAACATATTGTTAGGAACAAGACATTGTTTTATTAGTTATAATAAGCACAATACTTAATGGGAGAAATTTCAATAAATATGCAAGAGATTGATATTTGTAATAGTAACTTATAATCTTGTGCTAATAACAATATTTATATTGCTGAATTTACATTAGTAAGAGAGTGAATATTTATTTATATGTTTTGACAGATTTATAGAAAGAAAGTTAAGTGAAGTTTGATCTCAATGTTCCCTTTTATTGATGTTTATTTGTATGTTTTGACATAACTAGTAATAGTATGTTTGCTAAACTCCTAACAACAATTACCGGTCAACCATCATTGTTGTGAAACTATTACACTAATTCGATTACATTAATACTGTCAATCCTATTATCCTTGTTATTGATTATTTATTATTATTGTAATTATTATGGTTGTTATTGTTGGTTATAATTTTCATTATTTTCTCCTATTATTTTAATCACTTATATCATAACTATAATTGTTATCATGACTAATCAACCTTTGTTACTGTTAAACAAACCTAAATATATAATTAACGATTTGTATAATTTAAATTTAACGTTGATATTAAAAATTTAAATTATAAATTTTTTAATTAAAATTGTACAACGAAAAATTACTTTTAATTTTAAAACTAAAAATGTCCTAAAATTAATTATATGTCTATGAATTAAAAATAATTTTTATCCTATTTTTTAAATATTTTTTTCTGTATTAATTGCTATTCCTTTTTATTTATTTTGTAATTATAAAAAAAAACTTCAATTACAAAGTCTTTAGCACCATTTTTTACACTTATCACTAACTTATTGTATCCATATATGTGTCAAATGGCTTAGTGGTAACGTTTTTCTTTTATACAGAGTAACCAATGAAATATACACCTTTGCAAAATCAACTCAAAATCTAACATGGAAGAACAAGTATATGGTGTAGGGGTAGGATTGGCAATTGTGATTCAGAATATACAGAATTTTTTTTAATTATATAATATTGGGGTAAAGATTTACTTCGAATAAGTTTTAGATACTTACTTTATGTTGAATAACTTATTATAATGCGAATTTAATAAATTTTACGGTTTAATTATATGATATTATTTTAATAAATATGCATTTTAAATTTAAAATCATTTAATATCCATACGCAAGTTATCCTCCAGTTGATGTTTATTTGTGTTCTGAAAAATATAATATTCATTAAAATAAAATTGATTGACAATATAAATTAGTTTTTTAATATATAAATTTTGTAAATTTAATTTAGTTAATAATACAAAATTTAATTTTATAAAAGTTGTTAAATGAAATAATTATTTAAGATTTAACGTGTGAGTGATTTCTCACTCATTATAATTATACAAAATTATATATTGAACTTATAATTTTAACATTTTAAAAATTTACTTGTCATACTTTTAATTTTACACTCCAGTTTCATGTATATCAAGTAGATAATGATATTTTAAAATTGTTAAGCACTTCGTTTTCAATTCTTGATGCTCCCAACTTAATTTTTATTTCTTTTTTGTTCTTTTGAATTTTCTAAGAGTATATCTGTTTGTATTTTTAAAAAAAGTTTTAAAAACTAAAATTAACATGTTTTTTTAATTTTTAAAAGAATATTTTTTTTAAATACAAACAAATATACCATAAATCTCTTTTTTTTTTTCAACTCTTCTTCTTTATGTTTTTTCTTCCTGATTTATTTCCTTTTCTTTCTATACTACAAAAATCTCTCCATGAGAATATCAACCTCTTATATACAATTCAATATTTTTCTCATTTTTTTATACCTCTTCATCTTTGAATAAATTCAAATAAATTAAAATGATTTTTACCTAACCATCGATACTTAACTTCAAATATGATACTTTATCACCTTTTTTCTATTACTTTCATTCCCATCTCCTTTTTAAATTATATCTTGAATAAAATATATTTTAACTCTTGTGAATATAATTAAATTTATTTTTAATTTTTTTATTAGTTTTGGTTATTATTATGTCATTACAAAGTGAAAGTAAAAGTTATTTTAAAAAATTTATGAATACCAAAGTCAACTTTTTCCAAAAAAAAGACATAAAATTAAATGAATTATATTTATTAATATTAAAAATCTATTTAAAATTTTTATTTTATTATTATATTACTCTACAATACTATAATTATTTGACAGATTTGGGTATTAAAAAATAGTTAAGAGTAAAATTTTATTTTCAAATATAGTGCAAAACTATAATCCCAGTTTATAATATATAATTTTGAAAAAAGATATATATCCTCTTCAATTGTGGCAAGAACTTGACGTCTAATTTTAATTTTATTTAAATAAAAATTAAGAAAATGATAGAAAATTTTTATACAAGGTACGTATTTTTTTACTCTCAATCTCTTTTATGTTTAACATTATCTTCCTAACATTTATATCTAATTTTTTTCTTCTTCCCAAACTCAACTTTTCTCTTTCTCTCCCAACTCTCATCGCATATCTAACTTTTCTCTTTCTCTTCTTGCCTTGACTCCTGCCTCATATCCAACTCCTTCACTTCTCTCCTCCCACTACTACATTTATACCACATTTTCTCTTCATCTCTAGCTATCTCTAACCTTCTTTTCTTCTCACATTTAGCCTCCATCTCTTTCATCTGACTAGAAACAAACAAAATTTGTTTAAATAAACTAATTTATTTAAGTGAATTTTGTATAATTTTTTTATTTTTTTTCTATTTAAATAAAAATAGAATTTGACGTATAGCTCCTACCACAACAGGAGATGATCTGATCTCCAGTGAGAAGCAAAAAAATCCATATTTACTTCTAATTAATATTTTCAAATAAGTTTGTCTCTGTTTTATATCACTTAGTATTTATTTGATTTGTCAATAAAAAAATTAATTTTCATTTTTTATTATATAAAACATCTATTGTAGTAAGAAATTAAAATTAATATTAATTTTAATAATTAAAATCCTTAATTGCTTTATGTAATTGTGTTTTTTGAATGGTCATTATATTAGTCATAGCAAGTCACGCAACCATTAAGCAAAACGTGGGGTTGAGAGTAAACGACCCAATGACTTGGACTAGTGGCGGTCTAGAAGAATTGATGGTACATTACAACATCATATCATATCTTTCTTTATGTGTCGGCCGAAAGTAGCTTCTAATAATCTTCCATGTCAAAAATTTTTAATGATAGGGAGCATTGTCCCTGTATTTTCCTATAACCATTTTCAGAATCCTTTGGTGTTTACCTACTACAGTTGCACTATATAAGAAAACTAATAAAAGCCATAAAATGAGGCACAAGACTGGTTTGTGTTCGAGTCTTATAATATACCCCTTTTTGTTACGCTTATATGAAGCTGTGATTGTTTTTTTTTTTTTTTTCAGTTTTAAATAAATAAAATAAACTAAAGTTTCACAAAAGGAAAAATGAATGAAAAAGTGAAGAAATGAATAAGACTTGTACGGTATGTTAATATGATTGGGAGAAGCAAAAGCTTGTCGCCAAGTTGTGAGGAATCGTTGGATGCAATTATAGGCGCATATAGTGGTGGGGGTCTTAACAATTGCCTAGACTTGCTTCTGTGGTGGTGCCCATGTTGGTTTGAGAATAGCAACCTTAATGTAGCACGTGCCCTTCCTTTCTATGGTTAATGTTTACATTACACTTTACTTTATTAACTTTATCTTATGTAGTTCTTTCTCCTCTTTCATAAGAACTTCATATATTTTTGTGAGTTTAATCATTGCATTATATTAAAATTTCACGGTTGAATGTGGTTGTTAGCATAGTACACTTTAGGAAAAAAAATTATAACCTTAAAAATAATTTGTGGTTAAGATCTAACTGCACATAAAGGCACAAACATAAAGAATAAATAAAATGCTATTGAGTACCAAACTTTTGTTACGAATTTTGATAAATTTAAAATTGAACAATGCAATTGTTTGCAGAATCATTCACAGAGACCGCAGACAAATTACAATTTTCATTGCAATCATTTAGTTAATTTTTCTAATAAAATTTTTATACCAATCATTATTTTATAAAAAGTAATGTAGTATTCTTTGAGACTTCGCTGAAATATGTCCATCTTTGGAGCCAGAAAGAGAAATATAAGAAGAAAAGATAGAAAAAGAAAATACTAAACTTGATGAGTTATACAATATATAACTAAGAAAGGTATAAAAAGAAAATAAACAATAAGATTGACCAAAAGTGATAGAAAGAGTGTAAATTTTTTTTGAGAGTTAATTTTTTTGAAGAAAGAAAAATTTATATAATATTGACTATATTTGAGAATTTTTAAACAAGAGAGAAAAGTTTTATAAAATATCCTAATTTTATATTTGTTTTGTATTAAGCCTCCTTTGTCTCCTTATAAATTCTCAAACAAGACTTAAGAAAAGATTGTGTAAAAAAGAATAAATATTATTTGCTTTTAATTTAACAAAAAAGTGATAATTTTAGCTGTTGTTACCGAGCCTATGGACCGTCCAAATATCAACTAATTTGTTGTAGTGATCCCACCGGAACCAACTAATTAGTCATATCCGACAGAAGCATAAACATATGTATATAGCCCTTAACTAATAACTAGATTGCCCGCGGATGGTGGTTGTGAAAAAATCAATCTATAGAAGCCACGTTGCAACTTGCATGTCACATGTAGAAGAATCTGTTTATCCAACTGCCATCTATTTGGTGAGATATATATTACAACCTTTGACTTCATTCACAATAGTTACTAACAATTTCTGTGTTTTCGTTCTCTCCTTTTGGTAGCTCTAGTAGTATTTAGAGGTGGGTATGTGTGGACTATCCCATCCACTCCACTCTGATTAGTTAATGTCTGCCCTTAAGGATGTTCAAGATAAGAAAGATTACAGTATATATTATATATCTTATTTTGCATTTTGTATCGCAATAACTAAATAGATAATAATATAAAATATATACAAATAATAATAATTTACTCTTATAAAAGGTGGTGTTGGGACGTGGTGTTAGTATGAAAAATAATTATTATAATAACATTAATACCAATAATAATGGTAACAGTGATAACGATAATAGAGGTAATAATAATAGATGATGATAGAAATTATAGACAAAGTAAAATAAAAACAATAATCGTACAATGTTAAAATAGAAATGAATGGATTATTGATCTTATTCTATTTTATAACTTGGGTCTTCTATTGTTTATCTTTCTTATCTTAACTATTAAATCAACTCTTAGTATATAAAAAAACTAATATACTGAGTACACAAGACTTTAACGGGTGCTTTTTCACACCTCTATTTTTAAACTCTTTTCATACGCCTCTTTATTTCTCCCTTCTTCGTGTAACATCACTCATTATATTGATCTTTTCTTTGTAGCCTCTTAGGGCCTTTGCCGTGCAATTTTTCCCTTAGGAACTAGGTTTCTTAAGAATTGTAATTTTAAAATATGTTTGATATACTGAAAAAATTTAAATATTAAAAATAATTTTTTTGTAGAAATATTATATTTTTACCTCTTTCATAGAAATATTTTATTAAAATGTATAGCTAAAAATATTTCTAAAAATACTATTTTTTAGAAATAATTTTAAAAATATTTATATCAAATATAGAAATGCAAGATTTCTAATTTAAGATTTATAAATATTTTAAAAGGATTCTTCTTTCAAATACTTGCCTAAAGTAATTATATATTAAAAGGAAGAAAGAAATGTGAAGAGAAAAAATTAGAGAAAAATATAGGAATGTAATCATAGCGCTAATCAAATTATTGACGCTGAGAGAGGGAAGGAAATTATAGTTCTCTGAATGTGGAACCGCTAAGTGTGGTAGCAGATAAGGTTCCTCTTAATTCATAACATAAGCTTAGCCTTTTCTGGCCTAACCAATGTTCCATTTTGGCATTAAAAGTGGTCGTCTTCCATTCCCTCACGAGTCTATGACTAGGCCAGGAGAGGCTATAAGGCCATGACCATGACCCCTCTTTCGAATATCATATTCATGGGGTTCAACTGGCCCAACACATAAATCAATCAATTTCAATTTTTTATTTTTATTTTCATTTTTCTAAAGCCTAGCTAGCTTGAAGAGAATGTCCCTATCTGCCTCGCCATTCCCTTAACATCCCCCATTATTAATTAATTTCCCTTTCCTATGGCAACACGAAATTGCTTCATTTCTATATAAAACAAGCTTCATAAACACGGTGACACGGAAACTCAAAGTCCTTTTGTTTTATTTATATGGACTTGGTTTTGTCATTTGTGGGTCTCTTCACCTTTTCTTGTGTGGCCATAGGCCTATAGTTATTCATCAACTCTCTCTCTCTCCCTCTCCCCTCACCCTCACCCTCACCCTCATCCTCTCTGTGTCTCAATGAGAAACAGATACAGCAAAACATGACAACCAAAGTAACTGGCTCTACAGCACAGCCCTACACTGAGTGTTGCATGTGTGGGGATCTTGGCTTCTCTGACCAGCTTTTTCAGTGCAAAGTCTGTCAATTCAGATCTCAGCATAGGTATATATATTTATGCATATATTTATAAAAAAAATTAATCTTTTTTATATTTATGGTGTTGGGTTTGATTCTAAATTGTTTCCTTTAATTCAATAACCTCAAATTTGGCAGATACTGCAGCAATCTCTACCCAAAACCAGACTCTCTTGGAACCTGCAATTGGTGTTTGAGCCAGAGAGAGGACACCAAAGAGAAATCACCCAATTCTTCAAATTCCTCATCATCTTATAAAAACAACGAAGATGAGATCAAGAACAAGAAATTCAGAAACAATAACAGTGGTCAAAACATTGGAGGCAACAAGAAGGGATCAAAAGGGAGTGCTCTTCATCTCCAACTTCAGAAACCCATTAAGAAACCAAAGTCACCAGAGTCGTCAAGATCACCATCAGCATCCACATCCCCATCAAAATCTCCATCGGTTTTGGTCTCAACCCGCAAGAGGATAGTCACAAACGGTGCTTTGGAAGAGAGGTTGAGAAGAACCAGGTCAGAAGACATCACAAACACAAGTGGTGCCACTAAACAGGTCTTCAGGAACAAGGTGAGAAGGTACAAGCTTTTGGATGAAGTTTCAAGTTAAAGCAAAATAGAAAGAAGAGAGAGTTGTGTAAGAGATAATCAATGATCAATCAATACACGGAAGAAAAAAGGTCACGGTTTTTGTTTTCTTTAGCGTCTTTTACTCTTCAAAGTTTTGTCCCAAATACATGTACAGAACAATGGTGCATTAATGAATGAGCAAAAAATGTTTTGAACTCATTAACTTGGCAGTTGCAATTCCCTTTTCCTTTGTCTCCCCCATCTTAATTTTCGAGGAAATTTAGGATTCAATTTGTCAGTTGAATACTCAATGTGGATGGAGGAAGAGTGCTCTAACAGCATAATTAATCATACGTGTCATATAATGTACTAAGAGTGAGAGATAATGGCGAATAGTTTTGATCCCCGTCGTAACAAAAAACCATACCCTCTTCTGTTTTCCTGTAACATGTATTATCAGTTCCTAATTTATACTCAGTGACTGTTTGATATCTGTAATCTCTTTTCATCTTTCTCTTTCAATTATATCAAAACACCCATCACTGTTATCATTCTTTTTCTCTTTTTATCTTTCTGAGTATTCTCGTTGGGGTGGCTACCGGACATTTCAAATAGAAAATACTAATTAATGTCCTTAAGAAACAAAAATGCATTTATTTCTGTAATTTTAATACATTTGAATATAATTCTTAATACAAATTTATTATATGTGGATTCCTTAATTAATGTATTAAAAATATTGGTTAATATGACTTTTTTAATATAATAGCAAATAGCATCTTCTCTGTTAAATAACTTGAAGGGAAAATTAGAGAAGCAAAGCAAGCTTAGCATTTACTATTATTATTAGAGAAGTAAATATTGGGTCAAATTTTTATGTGAATGAGGTTAAGGTCATTGCAGGAGATACAGAGAGTCCTAAGCCTTAACTCATAAGTGAGTCATGATAGCCACGCGTCTTGCATGCCAAAAAGTCCACAGGAGAGCGTATTCGAAAGTTAGCTAGAAATTTCTAGGCAACAACAGCACACGTTTTGAAGTGGGGCTTTGGTCCTTAACAAAGAATCAATGAACATACAGTACCAGACAAAGCTTGACAATGGGGGTCAGCTGCAAATTTTGTGAAGGTTTGCACCAATCGCTGCAAGATACTTAAAATCCTCGATAGTGGACACTAATTTCCTTTCCCACAAGAATATTTTTATGCCTTTTGAATATAGAAGGCAAAATGCAATAGATTCCTAGGAAATTATGGAAACGATGGTTTGATCTGATGCCTAATTAAGAAGAAAATGATTCATTAGAATAAGTTGACTTGTAAAGTGCGTTGTGGAAACTTGATGCCATACCATACAACCCAATCACTTTTTTCTTAATACTATAAAAATCCTCCTTTCCCGGGGATGTAAGTGATCTATGTATTATTTACGCCTTCCTTTGCGTAATTTTTTCATTCTTTTTAATGTAGACTCGATTGACTAATAAATATTTGTACTAAACAGGTCGTGATATAAACTTTAACGTGCAACTTGGAGTATTTAAAAAGGTTTGCAAAACACACTTATTCATTAACACAACTTAAAATGGAATTAAAGGGGCCCTAATTGGGGGGAGTAGTGCATGTAGCATTATTCTCTGGCGCTGCTCAAGGAAGAATTTTATATAATGAGAATGTTAGAAAGGCAAAAGGCATACTTAATTGGATTGTACTGCATAAAACTATTAAGGTGGTTTTCAATTTGAGGATTAAGTTTGCGCTTGTAAAAAACTAATTTACACAACTCAAAGAAATATCAATTATTATTTTTCCTCTCTTTTTTCCTTTCATTTATTTGAGCAAAAACCAATGGTGCGTTATTTAAAAAAAAACTTAAAAATAATCTAAACTAAAGTTAGCCTTAAAATTAGACTTTTGCTCGATGAAATACAATTTTTATAATTCTATTATGTTATGTCTACTATTCACTGTTGTTAAAAAAGACTTTTGTTCGATGGATTGATTAGGTAATCTGTTGAAGTACATTGTTAGATCGATTACGCATAAAATCAGTTCACTAAACCACAATTAAAATCAGTTATAATCTTCTGCTATATATGATTTAATTGGTTCACCCTATTTATAGGTTGAATTAGTAAGCCAAAAACCCAAGCAAATTGATGATTGGACTGAGTTTAATATCATTAATGCGATCACACTAAACTTTTTTGGTCTAGACAATTACGCTAAACTATATAGTATAAAATGTGATTAACTTCTTTAGGCAAGATTTTGTTATTATCAAAATGATAATAGAATATTTAAAAATAAATTAAGGAATAAAGCAGTCACATTACTGCGTACTATTATAAGAGTTTAAATATAATGAAGTATGATATTCTCTATAAGAAAATATTACGTTATGGAAAAATTAATAATGTAAGATTAAAGGCTAGGTAATAAGTATATTAATTTTAATAATATTTAATTGATAAAAGCTAAAGATATAATTTATAAATAAAATAATATTAAAATAATAAAATATAATTTTAAAAAATTACTTAAAATTAAAGTGCTAAAATATATTCACAAATATAATTTTAAGAATGAAAACTATTATATAAATATATTTATATAATAGTTTTCATTCTTAACGGTGCATATCTATATCTATTGTATGTATTTTTCACACATGGCAACATGCATATTAATTACTATTTTGAGCTTTAATTCGTTTTATATTTTAAGCAACATTAGACATAAAAAAATTACACAAATAATTTTGAAGACTAAAAGTTCAAATGTCTATACTTTATTTTAATTTGTACTGTTTAACAATGCATGGATTATTATCTAATTCATATTACTTACAGCTAAAAATTGTGTAGACATTTTTTTATCATCACTGTGTTTAGGTATTCTTTATACAATATATTTCGTTGAATGATCATAAATTGAATGTATTGATTATTTCGAATATTGTCTGATGCAACATATTCAATCATAATTCCGTTGTAAATTTAATCACTCGACTAATTAAACTGTAATAAAAAATTTAAACCGGTTAACTTTTTATCCGATTTTACATAATTTATCTGTGTATAATGGCACTTTATGATATAACAAGAGGTATATGCTTGTGATAACGGGATTTGGACAAAATGATCCCATCCCACATTCTCAACTCTCAAAAGTCATAAGAAAATTTTCATGCTTCTCAGGAGTCGTGTCTTTCTAGTTAATGCAATTTCAATGTATATGTTCCCATCATAATTAAAATAAAAACTCCCATGGTCCCCAAGAATCAAATGGAGAAAAAAGAAAAGAAAAGAAAAACAATACAAGACAAAACTTACATTATAAAGCTTTAGGGTCTACGAGAATTTTCAAAACCAATCCTTGCATATTTAATCATCACTTGAAACCATCTATTGATATTGTCACTTTATTTTCCATATTTTTTAATAACATCTAATGACTACATTATTTTTTTTATATTTCCTTTTATTTGTCACCTTTTTCAAAAACGAAAATATTGTTCTTAGTTATTTGTTATTTTAAAAATTCAAGACAACATTAACCATCTTTTATCAATTATACCTTTTAACTTAAAACAAAAGAATAATTAATAAAAGAAATAAAAATATAATCTAAAAATTAGATGACGATTTTAATAATAAAAATGATAATACTAAATTTAGTTCTTAATTTCAATATAAAACCTTAGAAAGGCATGTGAAAAAGTAAGAAAGAGAATAACATCTATGACAGATTCAGGTAATGATTTGATTGCTTCTAATGTTATTATGATATCGCTGGCCATGAAAAACCATAAGAAAATTTTAATTTCTAAATTTGAGATTGTGCATCTTTCAATTTGTCTACATACGGTGGAAGGAAGGTTCTCGATTGGGTGTGGAAATGCCATGCAAACGGACAAGACATAATTATGAACGGAACATGAACTTGAAGAAGAGGGTAATTGATTCGTAAGATTGTTTGTCAATGAGCTGTTTTTGAGATACGTCTTTGTATAAGTGAGCTGTTAAATGAAGACACAGACAATGCGTAAGCATATTTCCGTACGCAATTATAAATAAAACCAAAGGGATATTACTTCTGCTTACAAGTAATCGTCCACGTAAAGAGACCAGAATGATAAAAACTTTGGTAGGGACAAAAATAATTCCATAAAGAGCAAGAAAAAATATATATATGAAGGATTAAGATTGAATATATGTTGGGTTTGTTAGTAGTCTTTAGTTTTTTTATCACTTGAATACAAATTTTTAAACAAAAATATTTTAAGATTGTCATTATTAAATGGTAGTGCTTTTAATAATCATTTTCTTAATTATGTTAAGTAATTTTTATATTATACATTTATTTAGATTTTGAAATTTTTATAATTTTATTTAATATAATAAAAGATTAATTATTAATATTTACTCTTTTAAATTTATAAAATTGAAAATTAATTTTATAATATTTTTTATTATTTATATTCAAAAAAACTATTTAATTTAATAATACTCGTGTTGTAATGCACAAAAACAATTACTAGTTTATTAAAAAAAAGGTTTGATTTGCCATGTTAGTTGTAATTTTTTTAGTTTTTAAATATATATTTTAAATCTAAATATCCTTTAGTTAAACTGGAATTAGATTAGTTTTTAACTTCATTTTAAAAAAATTAATTCAACTTTTAAAATTAAAAAAATTAATTTACTTTGTAGTTTTTAGTTGTAAAAACATGTTTAGTTTTTTTTTTTTTTTGTTACTCACAAAAAACTTAAGTCCTTGTTATTTTTGCTGCTATCACTAATAATTAAGGTACTGACAATTAGGGTTGTTATGAACCTGGATTTATTAAATCAACCTACATTAGTTGTTACCATTATTCAATGAGTTGAGTCACTTATGAACCTATTTTGAGTTTGATGTGTTAAATTTTGACTAAGCTAAGCTTGTTTATTTGATTAAATAAATTAGCTTAAACTTAAAGTTAGTTTCAATTGTGTGAAATACAGTTTCACCGGTTATTGAAAGTGGCTAAATATCTCATTATTATTTATTAGTTCTTATATTATATTTTACATAAAAGAACATGCTTCTTTCACTGTCCACAAACTAGTAATTCACAAAACCATCACCCTACATCCATTAAACAAGCTTAGCAATTAGATGACACACACATGGACAAAAATTGTGTGAAATCGATTCAAATGCAAAATTTTAATTTTTTATTATTTTTCTAATTTTTATTTAAATAAAAATAGAACTACACGTCTAATTTACATTTGAATGCAGAGAATTCAGATCCGTTACCATGACCCACTGTTTCGCGCGCTTGAAATATTTGCCTGACCCACACGTTGTGACACCGCCCACCATAAACAACATTACCCACACGTGTCCCACCGTTTCCGCCGTTGGATTCTGTTTCAGAAAAAATTCCTTGCATTTACAAAATACAGCAAAATTTCATATTTAATGGGACTAGTTTGCAATTTATACAGATATTATGAACAAAACTTTCAATTGGTGAATCACGGTCGTTTATTGTAGTATACATATATCAACGGTATGCATTCCGATTGCTTTCTGTACTCAGATTTTGCCATTTTTTTTTACTTTATATACTTTCAGGTTTTATTGGTTTGTCAAATAAAAGTATAAAAAAAATTATAATTAATTAATTAGAGGGGTATATAAATATTCAGTAGGTGACGATATGGATATCAAAATTACTACTAACACAAATATGAGTATAGTGGATACATAAACGTACACAAATTTTTTGAAATTTGGATCTAAAATAAATAACAGATACTTCATTTAAATTTTACCTATTGTCATTTTTTCTACTGACAAGGGGCATATTCTCGCGTTGATGGAGACGAGAATGTGGAGCAAAATGATGAGCGTTGCGATGACGAAATATATATAAAGATGGCCAACTTGTTATTTTTCTGTGTTGGTAAAGGGTAAGAAAATATTATTTCTTTTTGTTAACTATTTTATTTTAATTTAAATTTTTAACTAAATGACTTGATATTATTTAAATAAAATCTCAAAATTAAGTTTTTTATATAAAAAAAATCTTTAGTAATAAATTTATTTACTATATCTAAATACATGACTCAATTCGAATCTAAATTAATTCATAAAAAAAAAAAATTTTGACCAAATAAAAGAATTTTTAGTTCATTACACATGCAATTAAATTATAACCACGGGATGCATGAGTCTTGTGCCACCATTTTCCCCACTGTTCATGACTAGTTGCTTAATATAACTTGTTTTTAAAAAGAATGCTCAATATATTAATTTAATTTAATTTAAGATATCATATATATATATATATATATATATATATATATATATATACTTTATTTTACTTTTCATAATCACGTAACGTATGATAGTGCTTGTTCATAGTTTTAAGTTGAGAAAAATAAATTTTAAGTTATTAATTAAATTGAAATGAAAAATAAAAAATATTTCTTCTATTTCAATTTATAAATCTGTTTAGTCACATAAAAGTG